ATCATCATACTTCTTAAACCAAGAGTCAAAAGTAACACCTGCTGAACATCGAAATTAAAATCATTGATTGCATTAATGACTGAATCAGTATGGGATACTTGAAATTCACCAGAAGCAGAGTTTTGTTGGGACATGCATAATTTCTCTATAAGGGCTTCCATGATTCTGATTTGAGACTGTTCAAACCGTTTTTCTTGACGCCCCATATAAGCTTCTAAATGCTCCAAAGAAATACTCACTGTAGTTTTTCCTGTCGCCAGATGTAGCTGCTGCTTCCAGCTCATTAGCACGCTCCGACCACCAGGCTTCTCGATCCTTACGCAAGCTTTGCCCAATTTCACTATGTAACAGCCTTCGTTTGTGGTCAAACTCACGGCCACCCGGAGTAGACCGACGGGCTTCAATGAGTTGTAAGGAGCCTGAAGAAACCCAGTGTTTATGAGCGGGACGTTTCGCGAAGCCGCAAGCGGCTTTACTCTCCATTTTCATGGCGTCATGCAGTTGCAACCAATGCTCATCTAGACTTTTCGGTGGGATGGTAGTTAGCCTAGAAGCTAGCTCGGCTCGATACTTACTTGCAACAGAAGCTGCAACCAACTTACTGACATTAATCCGTTTATGATGATCAATTCGTTATCCCCTGAAAAGTAAGGTAAGATTGGCGCAGACCAGGTCATGATCAGAGCCCAGATAGGTACTCCAAAAAGAAGCAGCAGTCTTGCACACAACCATGCCAGCGATAGCCGATCGCGATGTGATTAATCTGAGTCCAGGCTTGAGATGCAGAGTGAGGACGCCAGGTGGCACATCGGCGATGACTGTGCCAATGTTAGTGCTAGCCAGAAACAGGTTGTGGTCTGTGCACAGTTACAGTAGATGGTCCCCGTTATCTGTCCTGCAACCAACAAGTCCCCATCGACCACCCAAACGGCTCTCTTCTGTGCCTAAACGCCCCACCTGTGCATTCAAGTCTCCGGCTAATACTACAATATCTGTCGAACGCGCTTTCTGGAGAAGAACAGTTAACTGGTGTTAGAACTCATCCTTGATTGCATCCGGGCTGCAATCTGTCGGGGCATAGGCGGAGATGACAAAAAGACATCGTTCCTCATGCCGATTTCTTTTCACTTTGATGGAGCTTTCTAATCTAACAGCACATAACCGACTGTTAATGGGGATCCAATCTATTAGTGCTGCTTCAGCTCTAGCGCTTAGTGAGACATCAATGCCAGCAAGACTAGACGAAGATGCCACAGGGCCATCGAATAAACGCAAATGAAACAAGCTTTTCGAAGCGATAGATGACGAGCGAATTTGTAGTACTTCACTAGAGTTTTGAATACGGGTCTCGGATAGACAATAAACGCCCATATTAAGACTTTGTAAAGACATAGTCAGCCCTATCTGTTGTCCGATCTGCATTATTGTGGAAACGTTGAAAGAAGCCAGTTTGAATGATGTACGTGGTTTCAGAAAGACTGGTTCAGTATACGTATTCGGTGGAAACATTCACTTTCAACAAGACAGTGAATGGAGATCATGGGCGAGTCGCTGTATAAGTTGAAAAATGGGAGTATATGGAGTGAGAATACAGGAAGATAAGTGACGCAGTATATATAAAAAAAATGATAATGATAGTAATAATAATAATAATAATAATAATAATAATAATGTGAATTGTCTGAATTTCGATTTAAGCGAGAATAGTGTTTCTAGTATTAGTTGTAATTTCATTTGATTTGTGTGTGGGCTGTGATACTGCCCGGGTGCGCAGACCGAAGCAGGTGGTATTTTTTAGAGGGCCACACTCCGAGCCTTTGACCTAAAGGTCTAACCCACAAGGCATTAGGGCATAGTAAGGAGATGCTTCAATTGACTAATGAATTCAACTATAAAATTACTAAAATCTCCACAAAATCCCTTCTGATAGTAAACAGATTGACAAAAACAAAAATCTATCACTACAAAATAACAAAATCTGAGTGTATGTGATTGTTTTACATGGTTTGTGAGACTTTCCAAGGTTTATGTTATAACTGTTCTTTTTTCCTTTTACACGAATGGGACGTTAATTTACCTATGACGAATATCTACATTAGATTCTCTCCCAGTGTCTACTCTACAGGACTTCAACACAACTCAGATCAAGAACACATGATTAGCCTGACTAGAACGTAAACATATCCCCACACCAAAACCTGACACAATCCAACAACAATTAATAATAATAAATAATAAGGATAGGGGAATATATAACTCATCTGACACGTGTCAGACTATCTACAAGTCTGACTAAGCAAACAACCAATCATTAGCATTCTCACCCGAACATCAGTTTACAATCGATTTTTCCTATACCAAAATGAACCACTTGTTACACAAATTTATTCATTTGAGCGATGATCAGTCTTACATTAGGTCATTAATACTACTATTGATGATTTCTTGTAGTTTTCAAAATATTTGTGAAACAACATACAGTTATGTGAGATTTAGACCTGGCAAAAATGCGAACCGATTCAAGTTACCACACCACATTAGGAATATCAAGCCAAATCCCAGAATAGTAGCACTAACAATATTAGTAGTGTAGCTGTAAATAATTCCCCAAAATCAATAGCTCATTAAGTGTTCGACATTGGATGCTGACCACGTTGTTTAAGTGGACTTGTTTAGCTGAAGGCTTTCGGTCATGCATCCGCACCAGATCACGTTTCGACTCGGCGTGGGACACAGCTCCTACGTTTCATTAGCCAGCTCATAGAACAGGTCCTCGATATATTGGTAACGAATCAAATATATCTTTCCTGCCTCCTCTCGTCTGACTTCTGATTTCTATCTGACTGGGAACGACCGAACATAGAAGGTGCTACTGGTATCCAGTTGTAAAACTAGAATATCCGTTGCATCATCAGTAGAAGTAGAAAAGATTAGGTATTGCGTGAAAAAAAAGAAGTATGAGGTCACTATCTGACAACCTAAAGCAAAATAATAGTAATAACAGTAACAGAAATCTCGACCTTTTCAAATATTTGTACGACATAACAGTGTCTATTATTCGATTTATCAATAATCCAATGATTTATTTGAGTTTATTTCTGAAGAAAGAAAAAGGGATGTATTCTAATTGAACTATGCCTCGTGACTCATTACCCTCTTCAGTCACTGGTTATGAAAGTAGAACCTGGCATACGTATTTGCCGAAGTTGATACATCATATCAGTACAGCGAGCGATAAAAAATCAATAAGATCTATACAAAACAGGTATGAGTAACGGTAGTATCTATGACAGTAAAAAAGACTAAACATAGGAGATATGGCTCGCAAAAAGGATTGGAATCAAGAAATTAGAATCACAGGATATCATTACTCAAGATTTTTGATAAGTCTTGCTAAATGAGCGCTCGATCCGACTTACTAGACGTTTCTAATAAATCCAGGCGAAAATGACAATATAACTTGAACACAGGAAGAAAAGGCGCGAAGTGTGAAAAGAAAGCTTTACCTCAAGGTTAGTTTGTGTACGAAAAAACGAGGGTATTTATAATACTACAGATGATTGTATGGTTCTGCAATTTTCGGGAACCATAGCAAATATAGTAGCAACGGAGGTAAATATCCTATCAGAAACGTAACACGTGGCTCTTTACTTTCTAGGTGCTTCTGGGAAGCTTCTATTCAACGCTGACTGAATAAAATGGTCCCCAGCATTTTCTGATTCCCTATGAACTTTTTTCGAGGAATACTTTGTAACTCCGCAACAATGCATTTATCTATTCATTAAAACATAAGAATTAGTCCAAGGGGGTAACAAATATGTGTGCCATATAATAAAAATAAGGTAGTGGACAGATAGAGGAAGGAAAGTGAGCATAATAAAAAAGAACAATCATTGGAAATTAGAGTATGAAAGTGAAATAATAATAGTGAGGCAGTTCAGTTAGAAAAAAATACAACCACAAAGAACTCTTTTAGTCGAAGAAGTTACTCTAACTGAGCTACTACAACGTTTGCAAACCAATAAAAATAAGACAACAGATAGGGTTGACTTCGTCTCTAGACTGTCTCAACCTCGATATCTGTTGTCTATCCGAAACCTGTATTCAAGATCCTAGTAAAGTACTACAAATTCGCTCTCTATTTGTTGCTCTGAAAAGCTTGTTTTACGTACGTCTATCCAGGAACCTGTGGAATCTTCGTTTGGCTCTGTTGGAGTCGGTGTCACAACAAGAGCTAGAGCTGAAGCAGCACTAATTGATCGGATCCCCATTAACAGTCAGTTATGTGTTGTTAAATTAGAAAGCCCCATCAAAGTGAGAAGAGATCGGTGCAAAAAACGATGTCTTTTCGTCGTCTCTGCCCACGCTCCAACAGATTGCAGCCAGGATGCTATCAAGGGTGAGTTCTACCGCCAGTTAAGTGATCTACATAAAATGCGTTTTTATTTCACTTCCATACACTAATTTCTAATGATTGTTGTTCCTCTTTTTTATTATACTCACTTTCATTGCTCTATATTTCCACAACTTCATTTTTATTGTGTGGCACATATATATTTGGTGCCCCTTTGCACCAATGTTTATATGTTAAAATAAATAATAGTGCGCACCCTTCTTCAAAAGACAACCCAAGAGAGCACTTCTGATACAGTGGTTTTGAAACAATGTCACATCTAGTCAACAGCAATAAACTATGGCTAAATCTCTGACAACGAGATAGTTTTATCCCCCTCAGATAGCTCAGGAACAGACCGGCAGTCTGTGAATTCATGTAGTGATTCAACGTTTTTCCTTCCGATTTGCTCTTACTCCTACAATTCCAAAACTAATAACTGCGAGGTTTAACATGGTCACGCAAAGTTATTTGACTAAAACTGAATACACAAACATCCTTGAACAACTAAATATTTTTGTACCACAGATATGAAATATTTGCAAGTAATTTCTGTCCAAATATACATGCAAACTAAAAAATAAATAAATAAAAGATCCTGTCTCACCATAAATTATGGTTGCGAACGTTAGAGCTTTACCCATATGACCATATGCTTTAAGTCGTTTGACGCTGCTGAATGGTTTAACCTGTTGAAAGAGATTATAAATTAAGGCATACTCATAAAAACTGATAGCTGAAATATTACTTAAGCACATGTACGAAAACTCAGCTTTGCTTTTTTATAATCAATGAAACCCGATGCAAAATTCGACTGAAAACTGTTATAAAAAAGAATCTCCCTGAAAGTTAAATCAGGACGTACTGTACCTGAGTCAAATGACTGACCAATCGTTATGTCCCGATAAGAATAATAAAGGGTAACTTTTGAGAACTGTTTATGGACTAATGCTATGTGTATATTTTTATTGTATGATTGTTAACTAATTAAACTATTCATATTCGTGTCCGTCTTATAATAAGCATTGTTTTGACCCATAGACTAATACTGTGCGATTTACCATTCCTGAGTTATACTCAGTCTATTGATTACTGTTCCTCCTATTCACAACCACATTTGGCTAAATCTTGTACGAATGTTATTTTCTATTTTATGGTACGATGTGGTCTGTTTGATTGCTATATAAACTCAGTATGTTTGAAATATAATGATTCATATCGCAGAGGCTGCTATTGGTGTTCTGGACTTAACTGGCGAGTCTAGGCAGAAAGCAGGACCGATAAGTACTCTAGACTGCTCATACGAGTTTCGTGGGTCATTGGTCCGATCGATAAATCACTGCTCTCTAGTTGGTGACATCACCACATCTTATGCATCCAGGTGGCACAATTTATAACACCAATAATGAGTAAGTTCAAAAAATAATGAGGTAGCCCTGAAGTTTATTGTGTTATGTTACACTATTGTCTTAAAAACTGAATAGTACTTAAAAACTTCGCTGAATACCTATCATTAGAATGACTGAATATTCAAATTGCCAGTCCAATAAACTTTATGATATAATAAATCTCTTATTTCAAACAAATATATGGTTAAACTTTTCTCTAACTTCCCGTAATCAAAACTAATCCAATAACTTAACGAAATTAGTTAGAAGACTATTATAAATTAATGACAAGAGAATTTTAATATATCTCAGTTTTTAAAGGTTCTCTTATTGTGTAAAATAGTTACGTGCAATCATTCATTTAATTAATTCCTTGTATTCCTGTTTTAATATACAATTGCGAAATCACACCATTAACTGCTTTAAAATCTCCATTTTGCAAAAAAGTAATCTATAAGTTTTAATCACTGCGGGGTATGTAACAGTTGCTCAGTTTCAAATACTATAGCGCAGATGAGAATTCTAATCAAACGATAGCTGCAATGTAAGTACTTTTGTAGGGGTGACAACTTCTGGAGAAAGATAAAAATGTCGGTACATTTGAGAAAATAATGTGCGTGGTTTAATTAAAGATAAATAATTGTAGCGGTCTTCAGTCTTGAAAGTATGAAAAATATACTAACCTGAAATACTTAGTGCGCATAAATCCCCGAGCATCCTTCCTACAAGAGGTTTGAGAGGATTTCCCTAAATACTGAAAGAACTTGGATGATGCTTGACTTTCACGCACTAACTAATATTAAAATCAAGCTTAGATGCATGTGTTTCTTAATATATATATATATATATATATATATATATATATATATATATATATATATATATATATATATATATAGGGAATTCATTAGAGTTTACAGTGGCATGACACACTATTTGGTAACTCTATTATGTTTAAATACATGTATGACATAGCCACTCGTTTCCTTTGCTTTTAGTGAAAGTAAGGTGACCAAAATACGACATTATTTCTGCAAATAAAACGATTATCCGTTATTTATGATTAGATTCATAATAAGAGTTAGGTTTAGATTTCTATTCGATAAGTAGAACCATCTGACACTGGTTTTTAACCCTTATCAGGAATGAAAACATGAAATACAAAAGTCCCTACTTTTACACAACAATCATAATTCTATCAAAAACTAAACCTGACATATCTTGGAATCATTATTACTGAGCCTCTGTTGGTTAAAAACTATAGTCAAACCATTTAGGTGTTCAAGTGTTATGCGAAGTTCTAGTTAAAATTGGCAAACATACTCTTAAATTACTACTTATTATACAACTTTAAAATATAAGCATAAAAGTCACACTTACTAAAGAATGAGAAGCCATATGGTTAAAGCTACCCCACAGAAGTAATGAATATAGAATAATCGCTGAAACCAAGTGAGCACAAAGCCAATAATGATCCACACGTGGAACACCAATATAATTCTCATTTGGTGGAAGACCTGCCGGTCGTCTAGGTTCTTTGAGACCACTGCGTACCATAAGCCAGCCCAAAACACCCTGCAGTGAGAATATGTATCATGAAAATACACACGTCATTATAATCATGAAAAACCAAACTTTATAGTGTTTAGCAACATCTTTTAATTTGAATATTTGATGTTATCAAACCAAAACCACAAGTAATCTGTTATAACTGAAGCATATTTTACTATCTGAATAACATAAACTTCTAACTAAATTTTGGTGGCAAAACTACAACAAAACTTAACTTATGTAGTGGATTGGAAGTCAAAGTTGTTAAGAATACTACTGAAGTGATCAATATAATGATCAGTCAGGTAATTCCTGGATTATAAAGTGCGAGCTAGGTTGGTTTCAGTGAGTGATATTTGATGGAAATAAACACTTTGGAACTACTGACTAGACATATAACATTGGTGAAATGACCCACCTATCACAAATCATAAACATTTTTCGGCTTATTTAACATCTCGTATATCATATATAAGACAGGCGATAGAGTTTGAACAATACTTGACAAGTAAGATCGACTGTCTGTATCAGAAAATAGTAATAACCATACTGTTTATTAGGTTTTATAGAAGTAGTAACGTCTCAGTAGGCCAGTCAAATGCCTCGTATAAACTGCCACGTGCACGTCGTTCGAGTTGACAAACCCCATTGATACAGCGAGAAGAGATTGTTAGGCTAAATCCCAAAGTAGTAAAGGTAGTAACAGTATTAATGGCAATTGAAGATACAGTTCGAAAATAATATATAAACAGGTGGAATCATAAAAATTTGTGAGGGATTAAGATAAATTAGGATCTAAGGTAAGAGCAAAAAGTGAACAGACCTCCATCATTGAAAACGATTCTGACTCATGCCATTCAAAGTCTCTAACAACTGGTTGCGATAATCACGCGGACGTCAGTCAGATAGTCTACACATGTGTGTAGAACAGAGGAAAAGATGGGCAGAATACTTCGAGGAACTGCTGAATAGACCAGCAGGATCTCACAATATACCAGCCGAAGCACTGAAGTCAGACATTGAAGTAACTGCGAACATGCTTCACTTATTCAAGTAGATTCGGAAGGAGGAACGAGTGCCAACGGATTGGAAAGAAGGATACCTCATCAAGATACCAAAGAAAGATCTGAGCAAATGTGAGAATTACAGAGGAATCACAATGTTGTCGGTACCAGAAGAGGTTTCCAACAGAGTATTGCTGAACCAGATGAAAGACTCAGTAGACGCCCAACCTCGAGATCAACAGGCTAGATTCCGTAAGGATCGGTCGTACACAGACCGAATCGCGACACTATGGATCATCGTTGAACAATCAGTTGGGTGAAACTCGTCACTATACATCAACTTCCTTGACTAAGAGAAAAGGTTTGACAGCCTAGGTAGGAGAACCTTATGGAACCTTCTTCGACACTATGGTGTGCCTGAGAAAATCGTCAACATCATCAGGAATTCATACGACGGACTACAGTCCAAAGTCGTGCATGGGAGACAACTGAAAAAGGCATTTCAGGTGAGGACCGGAGTCAGACAAGGCTGTTTACTCTCCCCCTTCCTCTTTCTTCCGGTGATTGACTGCATTATGAAGACCCGACATTTGAGGGGAAGCACGGAATAAAATGGACAGTTGGGATGCAACTAGACGATTTGGACTTTGCAGATAACACAGTTATTCTAGCCCACACACCAACAAATGCAGGTCATAAGACCATAAGCCTCTACATCAGTAGGCCTCAACATACACAAGGGAAAATGCAACATCCTCAAATACAACACAGAGAACACCAACCCCATCACACTTGATGGAGAAACTCTGGAAGAAGTGGAAACATTCACGTATCTGTGCAGCATCATCGATGAACGAGGAGAATCTTATGCAGATGTGATGACAAAGATTGGCAAAGGGTGACATTCCTACAGTTGAAGAACATATGGAACTCAAAACAACTCTCAACTAATTTCAAAGTGAGAATCTTCAATAAGAACGTAAAGACAGTCCTACTGTATGGAGCTGAAACGTGGAGAACTACTACAACCATCGTCAAGAAGGTACAAGTATTTATAAACAGTTGTCTACGCAAAATACTCAACATTCACTGGCCTGATACTATCAGCAACAGCGTTTTATAGGAGAGGACAAACCAGCTTCCAGATTAAGAGGAAATTAGGTAAAGACATTGGAAATGGATCGGACATACAATTAAGGAAATCACCGAACTGCATCACGAGGCAAGCCCTAACTTTGAATTCGGAAGGGAAGCGGAAAAGAGGAAGTCCAAAGAAGACATTACACCGGGAAATACAAGCAGATATGGAAAGAATGAATAACAAATGGAAAGGATTGCCGAGGACAGTGTTGGCTGGAGAATACCGGTGTGCGGCCTACGCTCCTCCACGAGGGGTAACAGGTGCAAGTAATTTCCTTCAGTAAATTTATTTAAAAACAAATGGGATTCTTTTCTCCTTTTGTGGTAACAATGACCTATATAATAACAATGATAAAAGTAACGTTGTCAGGTCGTTGCAAACACCTCTAAAGAAAAAACAGTTTTTGAATTGTATTTACGATAGACTAAACCTTACTCTACAGGATATAAGAAAATGTATTTCCTTAATAGGTGGGGGCAGTCAAGAAAACCCGAAGACATTGAGTTTACACATGTTGACTTTCATGCCTATGAAAATTCGACTAGGAGTACGTACTTGTAGGGTACAATATATTTTAGAGATCTTCCAAATTATATAATAACAAGGTAACAAATAAATTACTACCTGAAATCCAATTAGTCCCCCATAAATAAAAATGCGAGATTTCATGACTGGAGAGAAATAACCTCTGTAAAAAAAATAGATTGCTGGGAAAACAAAGGCAGCACCGATCGTCCGACCCCACATTCGGTGAATAAATTCCATATACCATATAAACTTGAATTGAGTGATTGACATTTCTCCACGCTCCTTTACATAGCTGAACAGGACGTAGATAAAAAAATCTAAACTTGCTGTTCATGTTCAGGGAACTTCTTGTATTTTTCGAATTCTAGTCGCCAATGTTCTTCACTGAAAGGAGGTACCTCCTTAAACGGATGCCAGTCAACCATTGAGAGACCAGACTCGGTCAATCTTAAGTAAATAGTTTACAAATAGAAATAGTGAGAACCTTGTAACTCCACCAAGCAAAATAGCACCAAAAGTCATGCCAGAAAGACCCAAGAGCCATCGACCAACAATTGGTGAGGCCTGAATTGTTGCCTGACTGGCTGGGACGGATACTGATTTGGACGAGGTAAGTAGGTACCTCGGAAAATGTACATGAAATCCAACAGGTCGAATAGTTTTCAATGCTGCAGATCCTAAGCACGAGCCGAAAACCATCCCCCAGTCTTTACAATGTAATCTATAATTTCCCAAAATGAAATATGATTGGAAGTTATCGAAGTCCGATTCTGCTAGAATTTAAATAGCGACATGAATTGCGTGAACCTAAGTGTGGAATATTTAGCTATTAATAATGAAACACGACTACATAATACTAGGTACATAATAGAAGTGGAATTGTTCTCTAGTGAATCAAACGCTAGTTCCAACTGATAGGTCACATATTCAAAACTCACTTTTTCCAAATCAATATGTAGAAACCAAGAGGTATCCATAGTCTTACGGAACCAAAACTAAGAATCTCAAAATAAAAGTGGTTCGACATACATTGGAGGATTGTTTGATTACCTAAAAGGCCGCAGGCCTAAAACCTCGTCGACTGACCTACTTTTCATACTTAAGGCTCTTGGTAGTCAACATTGCCCGTGAGGTTACCCCATTACATCCCGACCGTTGGTGCTACCTTGATGTGGTGGTTGAGCTAGCTTATCATGATTAACCAATCGGGCTATATTGGCTACAACAATCGTTCCTCAAGGTTCTACCATGCCAAATAGATCGGTTGAATAACGGTAGGACTAAAAGCGAAGCCTTACTGTTGACTGTACAGAGGTATGACAGTAAGGTGTTTCCCTCAGACAAACAACATAACAGCAATGCTACCTTCCCACAAAGGAAGGAAGAGGTTAGAAAAAGGACGATCCTAATGGTGCACACCTCGCCTTGTCCCACGGATATGTCTCACACCTGCAACAACACTCAAGATAACTGTATTCATAATCGATTTCCCTCTTCAATTCCTATTATTCCTCCTACCTCGACTATTAACTCTATACTTCCTACTTAAATGTCACCATGGCCAACGATTATATAGCGCGAAACACCATCCCAGGTCTACTGAAAACTCGCTCTAAACTACACATTGAAGCCTTCAACGTACATAATGTCAGATCGGCCAGAAGGCCTCCTTCGCTAAGACTCTAGAATCTAGCACCACTGATGTATGGTGTCTTCGAGACACGTATACAAAATCTTGGTGTGGCCATTCATTGGACTTGAGCCCCTTAAATGCTGTGGTATGGCCGAGGATGGGGAGAGTCTGCTCTCTTCCAAAATTCTTTGACATCGCCACGCGTATATAGCCACTGACAGGAAAGTCCTACTCACTACCTTCTCGTGGCGGGGCTGTTGTTTACGAAATTGAGAGGACGGAAAGCGAATGTCCGGTGCTTTGACCGGGTTGGTGGATAAGTAGAATTCACCTACGGGAGTTGGAAAACCCTGATGGTGCACATGAGCTTCTGGATCCTAAGGAAACAAGTGGCGTATGAACTTATTGTCGATCAACGGCTACTATGAGACCAGATATTCACTGTACATCAGGTCCTATAACATAGACATACATTCAGACGCCCCACAATCGTAGTATTTCACGACCTCAATGCGGCATTTGACTCCGTTGATCGTGAGGTTCTATGGCAGTGTTTGTCACTTAAAAGAGTACCAGAGAAGTACATTAACCCTATAAAGGCTATCTACTCGAACATTACTGGTCGAGTTAGAGTCTATGGCGAACTGTCTTCAGAAACGTGAGGACGTTTTTAAAAAAGCCTTGAAATTGACCTAACTAGCTATGTTCTAGATGGAAGCAACATTTATACAACCAAACAGCCCTTTTTGATATCGTAAAAATAAATTTTACCACCTTAGGCTTTGTGCTTGGGTTTATCATTAGGAAACTTAGAAGGAATTGAAAGAATTACATAACAAATAAGGGAGTCAGCCAGTCAATAATATTTAGTATATGTGCATGAACTATTAATTAATACTTCTACGCTAACTCTGGTATCAAATAAAGTTCAACTGTAGCGATTATACAACAGATAGTTTTTGCACAAATATACCACAAGCGTGCTTTCAGTTACCCACTCGAAAAGTTAGGTATATACAGAGTCTGTTCAATTCAGTCAACTCGAGCTTTCGCTTAAGAAGATATTCCTGGGTATAAATGTCTAAGCTCAACAATATAAACAATGGTTGCGAAGGTGCATCATGAAGAGACGAAACTAAACCATGCCATGAAGGTCACCAAAAAGGTCAAACTGGAGTATTGGCACATATTAACACATGCACGATGCAGCATCATCATGGACAACTGACATAAACCAACCGATTTCTTTACATTGTTAACCTAACAATACAGAGATTTCCTCATTTTCGACAGCTTTCTATTTTATAAAGCCGGTCAGAATAGTCTTCCATTAAATTAATCAGTCATCTTTAAACCCATTCTAAAATATTCGCTCCATATTTAAAACAAAACCTTCCTGCCTAAATGCCACACTCCGAATTCAGTGAAATATCCATCATGAGTAATGTCTCTGTAGTAGTAAATAAATCCCCAAAATAAATAGTTCTTTAGGTCTCCTACAATGACCTTAACCCTATTCGTTTCACCGAACACATTTTTACCGTTAGGTACTGGGTCACGTATTCGCTTCAGTTCACTGTTGGGTGCTCCGGAGCGTGTGTCTGTGGTATTTGTACGAATTAATGATTCCCTTGTACCCGCTAATTATGAATTACAAATATAATTTGTTTGTCTGTGCTCATGTAGTTCTACCTGCATCAAATTACATAATTATGGAAGTTCTTAGTTAGCATATTAATTTGCATTAGCGTAACTGAATCCCCGAATCCATAGATCTGTAAGTCTTCTACATTTGATGCTGACCTCACTAGTTTTAATGGACTCACATAGCTGAAGGTGCTCGGTGACGAATCCGCGCCAGATCACGAGAGGGTACGCCGTGCACCACATCTCCTACAACTGCTAGTCAGCTTACAATGATCACTTCTTGATATATCGATAGCCTACCAAATATATCACCATGCCTCTTCGCTTCTAACTTTTGATTTGACCTGGGTTAGCAATTTTCGACTATAAAAGTTGTTACTGGTTTGGGCGTTATCAGACTCCGAATACTTGTGACAGCTTTAACCTAGGGGATACGCCTCGGATGAAACTAGAAGATTTGGACTTTGCAGGTAACACAGTTATCCTAGCCCACACACCTCAACAAATGCAGGTCAAGACAAATAGTGTACCATAAGCCTCTTGTAGCTGCAGATAATTCCCCAAAATCAATAGCTTTTTAATTGTGTCCACATTGGATGCTGACCACATTGTTTTAAGCGGACTTGTTTTGCTGAAGGCGTTCGGTCATGCATCCGCACCAGATCACGTTACAACACAGCGTGGGAAACATCTCCCACGATCATTGGTCAGATTAGATCAATCGCTTCTCGATATATTGATAACGCATCAAATATATCTTTCCAAACTCTTCGCTTCTGACTTCTGATTTTAACGGAGTGGGGCACGATTCGATTATAGAAGGTGTTACTGGTAAAAAGTTGTAAAACTACAATACTAGTAGTATCTTCATTCTACATCATTAGGCCTCAACATACACAAGGGAAAAGCAGCATCCTCAAATACAACACAGAGAACACCAACCCCATCACACTTGATGGAGAAACTCTGGAAGAAGTGGAAACATTCACGTATCTGTGCAGTATCATCGTTGAACGAGGAGAATCTGATGCAGATGTGAAGGCAAAGATTGGCAAAGGGTGACATTCCTACAGTTGAAGAATATATGGAACTCAAAACAACTCTCAACTAATTTCAAAGTGAGAATCTTCAATAAGAACGTAAAGACAGTCCTACTGTATGGAGCTGAAACGTGGAGAACTACTACAACCATCATCAAAAAAGTACACGTACTTGTAAACAATTGTCTACGTAAGATACTCAATGTTCTTTTGTCGGGTACCATCAGCAACAGCCTACTGTGACAGAACACAAACCAGCTTTCAGCCGAAGATGAAATCAGGGAAGGAATTCATATATTTATTCGAACACGTAAGTATTGGTACAAGAGGGCACCAAATACATATTTACCACACGATAAGAATGAGGTTGTGAAGAGATGGTGAATGTTAAATGGTTGTCATAAAAGAACAATAATAAACAGATGTTAGTGTATGGGAGTGAAATAACAATAATGGAAGGGTCAGAACAATTAGCATAAGTGCAACCAAAAGGAATTATTTCAATCATGGAGGTTGCGTCTGCTTTTATGAAGAAAGTAGAGGAAAGTTACGTCAGGATTGCCATCTGCTTCTATTCTGAGCCATATCTGACAACGTCTCGAGCCACTGTGTTACACCATCTCTCGGACTCCAACCAGGAAGTCGTGAAGGATCAACAGAAGCCAGCCCTTTGCGGCTTTCTCCCATACCACGACACCATGTCATACATTGACCATCTCTCCGCTTTTTCCAACCAGTCCGAGCATTGACAAATAATGCACGACGAGTAATTGTCTGAGACGACATTCATAGATTATGTCCAAGCCACCTGAAATCGATGCTTCAACATAGTAACACCAATTGGATTATCGTCTCTGACCCGAACACACGATGTCGAACCTCCGCATTACTAACATGGTTTTGTCACTGGATGTCAGCAATCCTTCGGAGACAACGATGATCGGACTCAGAGAGGCGTCTAACATCCTCAACTCGGAGAGGTCAGGTTTCACAAACATAGAGCGAAACTGCTCTCACAGACGCGTTGTAGATCCAACCTTTTAAGTTCAGACTAACATCACCAAAGCACTAAAGATGACCGGGATTGACATAAGCCGCTCTGACTTTTACTATACGTTAATTGATATCATCACTCACACCACCACCAGCACTTAAACAGCCAGTCAAATACAGGAACTTCTGGACTACTTCTATCTGCTCATTATCCAGTGTGAAAAATGCCATGCTTACAGCCACTTTTGTAGACCACTTATCTGGTGGGAGAACTCGTCCTTGATCGCATCCTGGCTGCAGTCTGTCGGAGCGTGGGCAGAGACGACGAAAAGACATCGTTTTTTGCACCGATCTCTTCTCACTTTGATGGGGCTTTCTAATTTAACAACACATAACTGACTGTTAATGGGGATCCGATCAATTAGTGCTGCTTCAGCTCTAGCTCTTGTTGTGACACCGACGCCAACAGAGCCAAACGAAGATTCCACAGGTTCCTGGATAGACGTACGTAAAACAAGCTTTTCAGAGCAACAAATAGAGAGCGAATTTGTAGTACTTTACTAGGATCTTGAATACAGGTTTCGGATAGACAACAGATATCGAGGTTGAGACAGTCTAGAGACGAAGTCAACCCTATCTGTTGTCTTATTTTTATTGGTTTGCAAACGTTGTAGTAGCTCAGTTAGAGTAACTTCTTCGACTAAAAGAGTTCTTTGTGGTTGTATTTTTTTCTAACTGAACTGCCTCACTATTATTATTTCACTTTCATACTCTAATTTCCAATGATTGTTCTTTTTTATTATGCTCACTTTCCTTCCTCTATCTGTCCACTACCTTATTTTTATTATATGGCACACATATTTGTTACCCCCTTGGACTAATTCTTATGTTTTAATGAATAGATAAATGCATTGTTGCGGAGTTACAAAGTATTCCTCGAAAAAAGTTCATAGGGAATCAGAAAATGCTGGGGACCATTTTATTCAGTCAGCGTTGAATAGAAGCTTCCCAGAAGCACCTAGAAAGTAAAGAGCCACGTGTTACGTTTCTGATAGGATATTTACCTCCGTTGCTACTATATTTGCTATGGTTCCCGAAAATTGCAGAACCATACAATCATCTGTAGTATTATAAATACCCTCGTTTTTTCGTACACAAACTAACCTTGAGGTAAAGCTTTCTTTTCACACTTCGCGCCTTTTCTTCCTGTGTTCAAGTTATATTGTCATTTTCGCCTGGATTTATTAGAAACGTCTAGTAAGTCGGATCGAGCGCTCATTTAGCAAGACTTATCAAAAATCTTGAGTAATGATATCCTGTGATTCTAATTTCTTGATTCCAATCCTTTTTGCGAGCCATATCTCCTATGTTTAGTCTTTTTTACTGTCATAGATACTACCGTTACTCATACCTGTTTTGTATAGATCTTATTGATTTTTTATCGCTCGCTGTACTGATATGATGTATCAACTTCGGCAAATACGTATGCCAGGTTCTACTTTCATAACCAGTGACTGAAGAGGGTAATGAGTCACGAGGCATAGTTCAATTAGAATACATCCCTTTTTCTTTCTTCAGAAATAAACTCAAATAAATCATTGGATTATTGATAAATCGAATAATAGACACTGTTATGTCGTACAAATATTTGAAAAGGTCGAGATTTCTGTTACTGTTATTACTATTATTTTGCTTTAGGTTGTCAGATAGTGACCTCATACTTCTTTTTTTTCACGCAATACCTAATCTTTTCTACTTCTACTGATGATGCAACGGATATTCTAGTTTTACAACTGGATACCAGTAGCACCTTCTATGTTCGGTCGTTCCCAGTCAGATAGAAATCAGAAGTCAGACGAGAGGAGGCAGGAAAGATATATTTGATTCGTTACCAATATATCGAGGACCTGTTCTATGAGCTGGCTAATGAAACGTAGGAGCTGTGTCCCACGCCGAGTCGAAACGTGATCTGGTGCGGATGCATGACCGAAAGCCTTCAGCTAAACAAGTCCACTTAAACAACGTGGTCAGCATCCAATGTCGAACACTTAATGAGCTATTGATTTTGGGGAATTATTAACAGCTACAGATCACTCCCCCCCTAGTGAGGTAGTGATGCCCCTAAGACGTGACCAGCCAGAAGTTTAAACCCAACGAGTTTGTCGTTGGTAAACACTCTTCTGATAGCTTGCTTCGTTTAGCAGCGTCTGGTCGTCTTTCCCTAAACTATGGGACCAAAATGTACAACGTAGCAATAAAGAAAAATAGTACAATGAAAATTTCTGTTCCTTGCGAAACTTAGTCGTTCTTTTCCAGCCGTTCTGGAAAAGAGGAAAAATAAAACGTGTGAGTGCATGTCAAAAATACACTCGTAAGGACACAAGATGAGCGGAAAAAAATAAACTGATACACTTACAAACAGCGTAAAAGCGATCGGAAAAAAGGTTTTTTTTTGTTTTTTTTACATAAATAAAAAATAGAGCATATTAAAAAAAAATTTATAATAAACTTTGAAAGGGTTATTCAAGATAAAGCTTATGTCCTACGTGCAATATTCGTTAAG